AGTCTTCTTACTATCAAATTAAATAGGGACAGATATATCTCATTTCCCTGCCATTGTACTGCTCAGGAGCAATCAATCATTCCTCATTGTCAACAGAATAAATCTCAGGCTCTTTAGCATGACATTCAAGGTTCTTCACCTCTGGCTATACCCTTCTTTTGGACATCTAATTTCATTTTTGATCTCACAGTTCCTATTACAAAGTTAATATGTGGTAGACACTCAAATATTTATTTAGTTCAGATGACAGGAAAAGAAAAACCATTATTGATGCAATCATTCTAACATTTAGTTGCATAATGTCCTCTTCACCTTTTTCAAAGGTATTTTTTCTTTAAAAAAAGAAGAGAGGAGAGGGTGCCTGGGTGGCTCAGTGGTTAAGCTGCTGCTTTCAGCTCAGGTCATGGTCCCAGGGTCCTGGGATCGAGCCCCACATCGGGCTCCCTGCTCAGTGAGGAGCCTGCTTCTCCCTCTCCCACTCCCCCTGCTTGTGTTCCCTCTCTCGCTGTCTCTGTCTCTGTCAAATAAATAAATAAAATTTAAAAAAAATAAAAAAGAAGAGAGGAGAAACATGTTTGCATTGTGTGTCTAACATATTGACAATTAAGCAAAATTTCTTTTTTTTTTTTAAGATTTTATTTATTCGAGAGAGAGAGAATGAGAGATAGAGAGCACGAGAGGGAAGAGGGTCAGAGGGAGAAGCAGACTCCCCGCTGAGCAGGGAGCCCGATGCTGGACTCGATCCCGGGACTCCAGGATCATGACCTGAGCCGAAGGCAGTCACTCAACCAACTGAGCCACCCAGGCGCCCCTAAGCAAAATTTCTTTTCCTATGCCTTTTCTTTCCCCCTTCCTTCACTATTGCTGTTGGTATTAACAGCAAGACCTTTTTCCAGAGGATAATTTATAAAGCATCCCTTCCCATTTTTATACTCTCCTCCCTCCCTCTACTTCCCCCCGTTGTTTTCCCCTCTTTCCTTCTCCTCTGCATTTTCATCCCCCCTTATTTTCTCCTCTCTTCTCTTTGTAAATTGATCTGTACTATACAGAACTCAGGAGAACATGTGATTATGAGAAGTGCCCCCAGAATAAAGAAGTAGAGAATGGAAGTCTTTCCTCTTTAGATTTGTGACTTGATAATGACAAACTGAATGTATGTTTTTTGTGGATTACCCCTCATTGGTCCAGATTAATGGTTTTTACCCAACAGGGCATGTAGGATTCACCTGAAAAAGTATTTTATGAATCCATACTGTTTCCCAAACCACCTGCATATTCATCTAACCCAGTATGCACTAGGAATAATTGGGGTGCATGTTGTGTGGGTGTATAGTTTGAAAAAGCTCTTAAAAACAATACTGATAGAATTCCCTTTTACCACCTATAGTCTTAGAAGAGAACCCCTGATATATAAATAGATCAATGTCAATTCCTTGCACTACAAGATAAACACCTCAAAAGCCACCATATTGGAAGCCTTATTTTATACGCAATGAATTATATAATGAAACTCTGAAACAGGAAAGGGGCATTTTCTGTAAAATATTTTTTTCCTTTTGGGGATAGAGACCCTAACTCACTGGCTTTAACTCACGAATCAGCATCAGTGGAAAGCCTTAAAAAAATTAGAGGCTTAAGTCTCATCCCCAGAAATATGAGTTCAATTGGTCTGGTCTTGGTCCATGCACTGGAATTTTTAAAAAAGCTTCTCAGATAATTCTAATAGGCAATCAGAACTGAGAAACATTTCCCAAACTGCTCATAAGTAGAAAAACCAAATCTGTGGTTTTGTTAATATGGTATGAAAAGTTGAGATCTAAGCTCACTTAGAATTTTTGTCAAGGAAATTGTAGACATGAATATGATGATACTCAATGGATTTTTTTTAAAAGACTTTATTTATTTATTTGACAGAGAGAGACACAGCAAGAGAGGGAACACAAGCAGGGGGAGTGGGAGAGGGAGAAGCAGGCTTCCCGCCGAGCAGGGAGCCCGATGCGGGGCTCGATCCCAGGACCCTGGGATCATGACTTGAGCTGAAGGCAGACACTTAACAACGGAGCCACCCAGGCACCCCATTCTATGGATTTTTTATAGTGACAACAAATTATTAGGGGTTTAGGCACACAGAGCCCTTGTTCTACAGAATGTAATTAATAAGAGATTGGGTGAACAGAAAAGAAACAAGAAAAGTATCCTGAATGAAAAACAAGAGCCAAAGAAAGGAATGGAAAAGTATATAGGAAAGTAGATCAAGAATACATAAGGAAGGGCTCCTGGGTGGCTCAGGTGGTTGGTTAAGCATCTGCCTTCGGCTCAGGTCATGGTCCCAGGGTCCTGGGATCGAGCCCCGCATCGGGCTCCCTGCTCCGCGGGAAGCCCGCTTCTCCCTCTCCCACTCCCCCTGCTTGCCGCTCTCCTGCTCTCTCACTCTCACTCTCTGTCAAATAAATAAACAAAGTCTTAAAAAAAAAAAGAATACACAGGAAAGAAACTAAAGTGAAAAGGAGAACAAAACAAAACAGTAGATGGGAAGGAGAAAGGACACACAACTTAAAATGTTAGTCAATTTTTTATTAATTTTTGTAACTTTCCAGTACTCTACCCAATACCATATCTAGATTTTTGGCCAATATTAAAACTAGATATCCAATACACTCTTCTTAATTGATTTCCATTCCATGAAAAAATTTAAAGATGAATTATTATATTTAATGTGTATTCTTTACATTTATATTTTTTTCTGATAGATCATTTTTACATGATAGAAATTTACCTTTAAATGGCATTTCAAAGATAGAAACAAAGACAGAACAATTAAATACAAAACAAAAGCAAAACCTTTAGTCTTTTGGCTTGATTGTAATGTGGTTTACCGTTCTTTATGGTAATAGCATTTTCCTGCATGCATTTCACCAACACACTACAAGTCAATAGCTTTAGTATAAAGAATCTATGTTTAATGTTGCTTGTGAAAGAAAAACAAAATGTTTTGCTGTAACTGGTAATATAATTTCACTACCTGGCTTTGTGAGAAAACAAACAAACAAACTTGGGTCCCAGATCATAACTGATACAGTTCTAATGCCATACGGGTCAATAAGAGTAAGATATATCTGGGTAAACAAACACTGGAAAAGACTGACGATTTACTAAATAAAAAGACTAGGTGGAAACATCTGATCCAAGCAATGCCAAGAATATCAACTGATCTTTCCTTACGCCTCTTTCCATGATAAGGCATTACTATTTGAAAGCAAATAAATGCTGGACTCAGTCTGAGATTTGTTTCACATTGAAATGTGTGCAAAGTTTACAGTACTAATAAAAAAGCAGAAACCTACACTGCATCTTAGTCTTTGTTTCTTATTTTGTGAAGTGCTGCAATTTAAAAGTGCTAGGAACAGAAACTAACAATAGTGACTGTGACATCAACCTGAAGATACTTTTAATTTCTCATTTTATGTACAAAAGGCTGAAAAATAAAATAAAATGAACTTTGTACAGTATTTATATTTTCTTAGAAAACTCTAACCATATAGTTTCAACAGATTTAAGCAGCTTGCAACATGTTCGTACAGTCGGGCTTTTTACCATAGTGTTCAATTAAGATTGGGAGAATAAAAAGCAAGAAGCTCTTCATTGTTTGCTGCAACCTATTGCTTAATGACATGAAGAATGAGGTCTGGGTCGAACAATTTGCTTCACTTTACCACTGACATATGGCTTCCCATATTGGACTTCTGAACAGTGGAAGGAATAAGATACAGCAGCCTGGGCAAGAGAAACATGCAGCGGTGACAGCTTCAAACTACAGTGGAGCCAATGACATTATATTACCTGTTGAAAGCTTGCAAACTATACTTACTGTGGTACATATTTGATGCAATAAATACTGTGCTTAAGTCATCATTTTTGTTTGCTCAAACATGCACCACTGGGTAAAATGACTATTTACAAAGCAGACTTTTATTGTTTAAATTGACATATACTATGTCAACCTCACCAAGAGCAGAAGATGGCTAAACAATACTGCAGGAAAAAAGCAGAATCAACTTTATAAAGTGGTGGGGGGGGTGCTTTTTGGTCAATTCAGTTTCTTAAAAGGATTGATAGGATATTTTTAGTTTATGCCAAAGGACACTTATCAAAAATGGGATAGTCATGCTGCCAGGACTCTGAATGACTATGTAATGGTGTGTGTGTACATATATACATATATACATGTACATATAATGGATTATGTAAAAATAAAACAATTCTTCAACGCTTGTGAATTCTATGGAACATTTACAGGCACATTAAAATTTTTCTGGATGAGATACCTTAAAAACATGAATAGCTATTTAAGCACCTCAAAAATCTAAAAACATCTTGAAACAAGGAGTAAACTCTTTCTTTTTGTGATGTGATTTTTTTTCATGTGTGAATGAGAAGTGCAGCATGCCTTCATTTAAAATATATCCAGTTATACAATAGAGAAACGCAGAATTTCCTACCTTTAATCCCTCTCCCCAAACATAAACCCATTTACAAAAATAGTCACATATAATAGTAAACAACCTGTGAATTAAAAAAAAAAGGTGATAAATTCACAGCATACATTTTGTAAAAATATGGCAGGTGTGGCAGTTAAATCATAAACAGTGGTGACAATTACTATCATCAAGTGTCACGTGTTGAATTTACATAAAAATTTAACTTCCCTCCCCCCTTTAAAGTGGTTCCTATAGTCTGAGTAGCCATTACATCTCTGCTCTTCAGCAGTGTCAGCTGGTTGTGAAAACAGAAACCTCCTGTCAATGCTGTTTTCCTGGTTTATTGAGTCCCAGTTTGCTGACCAGAGGTCTCTGTCTTGTTATAGGCACTGACCTTAAGTATACATTTGTAAAAACAGTCAGTTTGGCATAGACCTCCTGTGGGAGTCCTGTTGACACCAATACATCACCATCACAGGCTGTAAACAATTGATCACAGAATGGAATATTCTTTGTTCTTTTTTACTTTTTACTTTCCCTGATATCTTTCCCTTTGTCTTCCTTTTCTGATTTGTCTTTTTCAAATTTTTCTTTTTCTGGTTTGGTCACACTGTCATAGGAAGGTGGAGAGGTGGTGGAAGGCGTCATGTCAGTTTTCTCTGGAGTTGAATTCTCATTTAGTTTGTCAATGAGGATATCTTCTTTGATAGGTGTTCCGTCACCTTCTTTGCCTTTGTCTTTCTTATAGATACATGAAACCTTTTTAACTTTTTGCTTCAAGAGGTAGCGTCTATAAGCCCTCTGGATAACAATAGCAGACACCTCCTCTTGTTTGCGCTTCAGAGTGCTTGTGATGGGCTCATAGGAGACTTTGGAGGGGTTCGATGCCATGAATCGCTCTTCCATCTGTATTCGAAGGGCATCCATCTCTCCACTCTCACCCAAAACACGCTTTGTAAAGGCAAATAAAATGTCGAGGCAGTGGATCCGGTCCCCACTGACCATGGGCAGGTCCATGGCGATGAGCTGGACTTTGTTTGGTTTGGCTATGAGAAGAGGAGGATCCAGGGCAGCTGCAAAATCAGAGAGCTTGGCGAACTCTATAAACTGGGTGGCGTCGGGATCAAACTTTTCCCAAACCTCGTAGAACATCTCAAAGTCATCCTCACTCAGGGGCTCGGCACTTTCTTCAGTAGCAACACTGAAGTTCTCCAGGATGACAGCGATGTACATGTTCACCACAACCAGAAATGATATGATGATGTAACTGACAAAAAAGAAAATCCCGACAGATGGGTTCCCGCAGTCTCCCTTAACTGAGCTTCCAGGGTGATCTTTCTCAGGGTCACAGTCTGGAGGTCCACTATTAAGAATAGGTGCTAGCAATCCGTCCCAGCCAGCAGAGGTGGTAATTTGGAACAGGCAGATCATGCTGTTGCCGAAGGTCTCAAAGTTGAACATGTCATCAATTCCAACTTCCCTCTTGACATAGGCAAAGTTGGACATTCCAAAGATGGCGTAGATGAACATGACCAGGAAGAGCAGGAGGCCGATGTTAAACAAGGCAGGAAGGGACATCATCAGAGCAAAGAGCAGCGTGCGGATTCCCTTGGCCCCTTTGATCAGACGCAAGATTCGACCAATCCTGGCGAGCCGGATCACTCGGAACAGGGTAGGGGACACAAAGTATTTTTCTATCAGCTCAGCCAGAAACATGCCTGTGGAAAATCAAGAAACAAAAACAAAAAATAGTGTTATATTTAATAGCAGTGAATACAAATTTACATGGATTAGATAATCACTAGTTTTACAAAATGTGGACATAAGAATTAGGTATACATACACACATACACACACAATCTGCAGTATTTGTTTAGCAAAATGAAACTGATGTTTGTTGTTATAACATTAACCCTTTTATGCTAACTGAGGTTTCAATGGTCATTTTTCCTAGTTCGAGAAAAGCATCTACTGAAAGATTCAACCACTGAAGGCCTAAAGATGTCACAAAGTATATGGCGGCCAAGCAAAGGAGTGGATTTGTAGTTCTAAAATACCAGTTCTAGGGCGCCTGCGTGGTTCAGTCGTCAAGCATCTGCCTTCAGCTCAGGTCATGCTCCCAGGGTCCTGGGATCGAGCCCCGCCTCGGGCTCCCTGCTCGGCGGGAAGCCTGCTTCTCCCTCTCCCACTCCCCCTGCTTGTGTTCCCTCTCTCGCTGTGTCTCTGTCAAATAAATAAATAAAATCTTAAAAAAAAAAATACCAGTTCTGGTACTGGCATAAGAACTAAGGGACAAGGCTTGTGATTTTTGGATTGGAATATGGGAGTTCTTATCCTGAGACGGTTATGATCCGTTTTATTTGCAAGGTGGCAAGAATGATGGACAGGAGAGAATCCAGGCTTTGGAGACAGACATACTTGTGACTGAATCCTATCTCTTTTTTTCCACATCACTAAATGGTGATAGTATCTACTTCTGTTGTTGTTTTTGTTAAACTTAGTACTTTCTGAGCCTTTTCTTTGTTCTAGGCATGCTACTACGTGCATCTACTTACATAATCTCATTTAATTCTCACAATAACACTTTACAGAAATATTCCCTGGAAAGCCAGGAATTGGAGGTAACTTGCCATTGGTCACTGAGCTGGTAAGTAGTGAAAATAGGGAAGCTCCAGGCCAGATCTGTATGGTCCAGAGTCTCATCCTTTAATCACTATATGACCACCTCATAGGATCAGAGTGGCACATTGTTTCAGTGTTCTAGTCCACCAGAGAAAGCAGTATAAAGAGTGGAATACTACTTTTTTCTCTCTATATATGTTTTCTTTTCTCAAATAGGCAGAACCTTGTCTTAAATCTCTTATATTTACTGCCAGCACCTCATTTAATGCCCTATACCTAACCATTTAATATGTATTAATGAAAATGAGTCTGTTTTAGTTTTTTGAACAAAATGGCTACTTCTGGAGAAAGAATATTACAAACCATAGGAACTATCTGAATCCAAAGGTATGATGAAGTTTATTTATGTGTGAATATATGTAAACACACATGCAAACTATTCCAATTTTCAATAGCTTATTTCTGGACTATGTGATTACTTCTAATAATTTTTGTGTGTATGTGTGTGTGTGAATTATTTATTCAAAGCAGTACTTGTCTATACCACAGGAGTCTGAGTGACTATAGGAGTGTTATGACAAATTGCAGTTATTGTCTTCTGAAATGAGACAAGATGATAAATGAAAGCTGAAAATATAAAATCTTTTTTTTTTTACACATCATTTCATGCACAGCATGCAACAAGAGAAATGACAAACTGAAGAATGGACTATTAGGCTTTTATCTGAAATTTTGGGATGAATGAAAAAGATTAGTAAGGAACACTTCCACAGTTTTAAACAAATTTTTACCACTAACTTCTTTAACTGAGTAAAAGCATCTCTTCTTACCTACAATAGAGAGAATGACCACCACAAAATCAAAAATATTCCATCCAATGGTGAAATAGTAGTAACGAAGAGAGATTAGTTTCAGCACACACTCTCCAGTGAATAGAACAATAAACACCAGATTAATCCAGTACAGAATGTTTGTCATCTCCTGACTCTGGTCATCAGTTTCCACCATCATGGTGACCATGTTGAGGCAGATGAGGATCATGATACTGATATCAAAGACTTGTTTGGTTACAAAATCAAAGACCATTCCTTGGAATTTGTTCTGGAACAAGGAATACGTAAAATTCACTTAGGAACATAAAAAAAAATCAAATTTGACTTCTCTGCTTCTAACATAGCAATATGAAAATGTAGCTTTTATAAAAACACACCATGTTTATTTAATACTTGGAAGAACATTTTGTATATTGGCATATACAAATTTTTTCAAATGTATTTTAGTTATACTGTTCATGATATCAGATTTTATAAACTGACTTTAAGAACCACTTATTGTATGCTCAGTGCCCATAACATCATCATGTGTACGATAGACGGTCAGCCAATATTTGCTACTATAACAAATCTTTGTTATCCCCTGTTTTGGAGGTGCGTATCAAAGTAAACTTCAAAGAACTAATAAATACTTCTCCGGCTTTTTCTCTCATGTTTATTTTTTTCTAGTTTCTGCTTTTATCGTCTTTCCCCAAAGCCAGAGCATCTTAAGTTTCATCTGGGAAGATGTTTTAAAAAATTATAGTCCAAGAAGAAGGACATATGTGGAACACCTGGTGAAATCAATTAAGTTCTGTATTTTATTTAAATGGTATTGTACCAAGGTTAATGCCTCAGCTTTGATTACTGATCTGTGGTTACGCCAGATTTTGCAATAATGGAAAGCTTGGTGAAATTAAATGTGGGTAACTCTTCTGTAAGAATATAATAATCTTTTAAAAAGTTATAGTCCACAGTCAGATGTTCAGGCTTTGCCCTATTCAGTTTGGACCTTATTTCCAAGCACTAATGGGCTTTATGTCTTGTTTATGAAATTAAGTCCTCACCTTACCAGTTCTGCTAGTTTGGACCCTGTTTTGTACAATTTTACCTATCCCTGCTTGGTATTTCAGGCTTTCTAGGGCTCAAGCCCTGACTTAACTTCCACTAGGCTGTCCTCTACTTTCTTAACTAGAAACGCTGATGGTCTGTTACCTATACACTTTGCAGGCTACTTTCCCAGATTCTGACATGTTTATCCATCTGGATTCTCTGTACTAGTGTTCTGATCTCTCTCAGTTGAGAGACATCCGTTAGTTACTCCCTATGGAAATTCTTGGACATCAAACACCACCTGTCTGTTGTATGTTTCTTTCTCTGAGTAGGTATCTGGCTGCTGGACTGGACTTCTATTGCTTCAGCTGGGTCTTTCCTTCAAGAGCCTCCTTCAACTTGATAAATGTGTCTAATTCCAGTTCCAAACCTTTTTTTCTTAGCTCTTATTTACTGTAGCTTACCTTTCCAAGTCTGGCTATGTTTCTTTTATTTCTACCCTTCATATTTCCTATCCCTCTTAATAAAATTTGCAGATTCTACTGTATCATTTTATCTTGTCTCCTTGTCCTAAAACAGACTTCTCTCACTCCTTCTCTGGTGACTTTGAATTCAATTTTAAGTTTTAAGCACTCTGTGTAATCAGAAAACTTTATGTTTACATTTGTCATAAAACTGATGACACTGTATTGCAAATGGTTTGCTCTTGTTTATTTGATTTTAATTTTTTCTTCTAGTCATTTGGAGGCTCTGCCAGGACAGAGCAGTGTCATTTTCTCATAGATATAGCACCTAGAGTGTAGTAGGTTCAAAACTGCTTAAAATCAGAAGCTTTTTATCAATAAAAAGTTCCTTAGATTTTCTGCCCGTGTAGTTTTCCAGTGGGTCACTTTGATGTACAACTCCAATCCCCAGTCACTAATCGCTATCTCCAATTTAAATCCCAGGATGTAGTATATGCTGGAGGAAGCTACGTAACCCTGGCAGTCTTGTTCACCAAAGATTTATGTTCTCTCACTTCATCTGGGCCCTTGACGGTGATGAGGAATCCTTTATTATCCCTCACTTGCTCCAGGATAGTTCCAAACTTCTCAGAAATATTCTATTCTTTTGCCCTCTATTCTTTTTTGAGAGCATCGAAATCAGTGTAAAGAAACTCTTCTACTTCCTTTTGCATTTCATATTATCTTGACTTTTCACATATATCTTTTTATATATTACTCCATATTCATCAGAGGACTCAGTCCTTCTTACTTCTAAATCTAACCTAGACCATTCTATTCTTGAGCCACATTTTATGTGTGACTTTATTCTATATTCCCTCTCTTCACACTCTTCTTCTCCAGAACTCTTGCTTTGCTTCAAACCTAAATCTCTCTCCAAATCTTAAGAAACTTTATTTTACTACTCCTAAATATTCATTCTTTCCCCATCTCCTTTTGATTGCCAGATTCTGCAAGCTAGCATCTCCAATTTTTTTCTCCATGCATGTCCCTTCTTCATATCCTGCATGACACTAGTCATCCAGTTTGTATGGCAGAAACTTGTAGGTTCTCTTTGTTGGGTCCTTCTTTGTCTCCCATATTCAATTAATAGACAAACTTTTTAACTGCACTCCAGTGACAGCTCACAAATCCATCCACTTTTATTCATCTCCACACCACTCTGGTTCAGGCCACCTGTCATCTCTGAAACAGCTCCAAAATAAGTCTACAAAGCATACACATTGCCCCTATCAATACTGGTTGAGTGATCTTTACAAAACTGAAAATGACCAGGTTCCCTTCAATGGTTTCCCATTGCTCTAAGAATAAAGACAACTTTTGAACATGGCCTACAAAGCTCAGAAAAGTGTGGCCCATCCTAACCTCTTCATTCTCAACACATCCCAATGAGCCCTCACTCTCTGTATTCCAGCCTTACTGGCCTTCCTACCTCAGGGCCTTCACACAAGCACTGCCCTTCTCTTAAAGGGCTCTTCGCCTCCTGACAACAATTTCTGCAGCAACCAAGCAGCTACTGGCAAATATACAACTGGAATCTCCATAAAAATTCATGAAGAGAATGATGTTATCAGATTTAGAAGCAAGATGCTAGGGGAAAATATGAAATGTTTTTAAAACCAAAAGAAAACAAAACCTGTGACTTGTTTCATTAATGATTCCACTTAATCACCAGAGCTGGATAGAAAATGGGGCATATCTGAAATGTACCAATATCTGAGATTGTATCCAATTGGTCCCCACTGCACTCTGTGAACATTCAATATTTCCACACAATGTATGTATGCATATGTTTTCTTCTCTACATTATTAGAAGCTCCTCAATGACATCAATTCTATGTAATACTATTGGCATATAAGTCTGAAATTTTTTATTTACATATATTTTCTATGTTTATTTATAATACCTATATTATATATTTTGTGCATATGATATACATATAAAACACATATACTTAGGCTAAGATAAAACTTTTGTTTTGCAAATTCATAAAAATACTAGTATCTGGCAATCTGGACTGTGCAAGTGATAAATAACATAGATCTTGCTGGGAATGAAAGCATGTTATTCTTACAGCAGGTCGAGGGATGGGTTTTTGTGGTTTCTTTGAGCCCAGTTTTTTCATTGCATTGTAGTATTTCTTCTGCTCTTCTGTCATAAAAATGTCTTGACCTCCAAAGTAAAGAAATAAAAACAAAATTTGTTAAAATCATGTTCTTTGCTAGCTATAAAACCCATTTCATTAGTTATGTGAAAATTGGCTTCCAAGTGCTATTCTAATGTTGCCAATCTTTGTATTTACAGAGATAGATGCATGTATTCAATCTATAAATTATTCTCTATTTACCAGTCATATTTCTATCCTGAAAATATCAATACATGCTATCTGAATTAACAATTACTTAAAAACTTACAATTGATTAAATATTTCAAAACAATTTCAGAATTTTATTTAGCTGATTACATTTTAGAGCCAAAAAGAACCAGTGTGAGATGTTTAGTTCACATTTTAGAATAAAGATGAAGTTTTAGTATACTTATCTTCTTTTTCTGTTGGTTGAAGTTATCTATGATGACACCAATGAATAGATTCAGGGTAAAGAATGAACCAAAAATAATAAAGATGACAAAATAAAGGTACATGTACAGATTGTCTTCATACTTGGGTTGTAATTCTACCTACAAAATATTAAGTAATGATAACTATTAGAACTACTACTTGTTTTATAAAAAAGATATCAGCTAATTTTCAATTCTCAAAGCATATCTCAACTGTTAGAAATGGAAAATAAAAGATCAAACATTAAACAGATTTTATGAAACATCAAATCTAACATGCTTTTTGAAGAGTCCTGCAAGACCATTCACTGACTTGACAAAGTGAAACAACTCATAGAAAAGTCTAGATAATTAAAATTATTTTCACCCAATAAATTTCTAGATTATGAATGCACTTTCCCTTATAGGCAAAGTCCCCCAACAGGGCATGCAAAGTGAGGATCTCCCCTTCCTGCAGAAGAGATGTTTGCGTTACACTATTTTACGTTAAAATCTTTAAGATTTAGTCTCTTTGATTTGGTTTTTTTCAACTGTAAAATGAAAATAATAGAACCTTAACCTCATAGGGTGGTTGAGAAGGTTAAATATATTAATATATGAAAAGTGCTTAAAGAAATAGTGCCTGGCCTATTATAATAGCTGAGTGTAAAGGTTTGATTTCTATTACACATTTCTTTTCATAGGTTAGAATTATTATTTTATGTGTGGATATGGGTACCTCTGTAGGATCATGCCCTTCTGAAAATGAGTCTATAGGCTCTAGGCACGGGTTCTGTAACAATGATGCCTTGTCTTGTCCAGCACACTTGTGGTCAAAAAAAGAGTGACAGTTGGTGTGAGCTTTGGCTGTAATCTATAGCTCAGGTCTCAAAGGATATTGTTCTAACCAATTCAGTTAAGCAGTCACAGTGGTAATGGATACAGGTAATGACCCACTGTGTCTCATGAAATCAATTTAGAGGATAAAGGCCAACATGATATGTTTTTCTAATGAAATAGAGTAAAATGGAAAATGTTAGAAATATTGTAAAAGTACCTATTCTTTGATGAGACTTTTATTTCATTTATATGTGTATACAGTGAACAGTGATATAAAATGATATTTTTAAACATTTTAAAATTAAATACAATACATACAGAAAAGTGCACAGCCCATAAGTGTAAAATGTAGTAATAAATTGTTATAAAGTGAATTTCACCGTGCAGGACATTGCCAGGAACTCAGAAACCCTTGATACATCCTTCCCAAATATAAACTCTATAATCCCTGCTAGAGGCGACATTATCCTGACTTTTATGGTAATTCTTTCCTCGCTTTTTCTTTAGAGTTAACACTTAAGTATGCATTCTTGAACAGTAAGATTAGTTTTGTCTATATTTTGTCTAGTGGATACATTTGTTATAACTGTTATATTTTTAGATTCATCCACATTGCTCTGTATGCTGTATACATATATCATTTCATCATTGCATAACATTCAATTATTTGTCCATTTTTACTACTTTTGAGCTGTTTCCAGTTTTTGCTAGTTCAAAAAGTTATGTTCATTCTTGTGCTTAGATTCTGCTATGCCTGTGCACAAGTTTCTGTAGGATATATTGCTAAAAATGAAATTGCAAGGTGAAAGAATATCTTGAATTTTATTGACTAATGTGATAATGCCCAACTTTTTAAAAGAAATATTTATCCATTTTGCCCTGTCAGCACTGCATAAGTTATTATTGCTCTTTATCCTTGACAATACTTGGTATTGTCATACTTTTTAATATTGCCAATGAGGTAAATGTATAGTTAACGCCATGTTGTGGTTTAAATTTGCACTTCTCTGATAACTACTGAGATTAAGAGGGAGCAACTTTTCATAATTTTAGTGTCCACTTGGATTTCATCATTTGTAAAATGCTTGAACGCTGAGGAATTATGTAGCTATTGTCCGCTAAGTTACTAAGGAAGAAACCAAAAGAAAGTTGTATATCAAGCTGCTGCTAGGGAAGGCAGAGAGAACTCTAAATGAATTATGCAAAGCAGGTAGGAAAGTACTGTAGAAGAAAGTGGTCATGAGCCCATTGTTTGTGGTCAGAGTTCAAAAACACGTACTACCACTTAACGCATTGAGCCTCTTTGCTTCAATAGTGAAATGGAGTTAATTATCAACCACCCAGTAACGTTGTTATTTAAGATTAAATGGGATTGTGTAAGAAAGCTGTTAGCAGAGTGAGTAGTAATAAGTAGTAAGTTATTAGTATTATTCAAAAAAGCACATGACTGGGATTCCTGATTGTACTCACAGAGATACAATGCAGGGTTTTTAGTTCTCATGCTCGCTCTCTCTCTTTTTTTTTAATAAGGTAAAAAAAAAACCCAACAACTCGAATTCTTCCTCAGTTACCACCTGGTTATTGGTGCTAGGAAAATAACATTTCAAATTTAATTACTATGCTCTGGCAATATACCAGAAGCCAATCTCCTTTTTTTTAATGTGATTTCCTCCCCCATTGTTAAATAGTGAAAAATTAATGAAAACTACAAAATTTTCAAAAGTGCTGAGGTGTCTAAGGCAGATTGTGAAGGCCCCTTCCTTCTATCACAAAATCTCACTTCCCAGAGAAAAACACTGTAAAGTTTTCTGTTTGTTTTTTTTCCACCATTAGCCAGATTCTGCCTATTCCAGGGAAGATAAAAAGATGGAAGAAATCTGTGACAGACGAAGAAAGTGCATGTACAGATTGAGGGCTTCTAATGCACTAATGTCCGTAACTATCAGAGCCAAAAATAAAATGTCTCATTTTGCAAAATCAACAAAATTTTAAGTGCTGGGTGCCACGCTAGATACTAGAAAAGATGTGTTAGAAGATTTACAGTGAGCAGAGAAAAACATTCAAATCAAAATTTTGTAATACAGATGTTTTCTATAAATATATATATATAAATTTCTATAAATATAAATATAAATCTATAAATTGACCCATTGTTTTATTTATTAGCAAATTACAACACTGTAGAAATAGTCACTGGATCAAATTAAACAATCTTCCCTCTAAAAAGACTTACATTTCGTGAATCAACAGCTGCATACATGATATCCATCCATCCCTTAAATGTGGCCTGTAAAAAATTCATACCATTTAATTTTCCCCCACAAATTATAATTTTAGAAAAGAAATTAAGTATCAGATTGACCAATTCAATCATTCAAAAACAGGTATATGAAAGTTTGGGGTTAGTATTTAAAATCTGGGCAAAGTTTTGTAATAGATGCATGGAAAATACTTCAACTCTATGTTCTTCTATAAATCTATAATTAAATCATGAGAGATGATAACAATATGCTATCATAAAAGCAATTATCAACAATCTTTGACTCTGATATACCTATAAGAATATAACATGAAATTTGATAAAATAGTATCACACCAGTTGAAAAATATGTTGCATTGTTTGATCTTAATGCTTTCCATTCTTATTCTTTTGGTATTATCACCAATCACTAATCATGATTTGTTCTTGAAAAATCTCCATATTGTTGATTATACTATTTTGAGCCAATTATTCCATAAGATGAAGTAGTTGCCTAATCTGAAAACAAACATATTCAACTGCAATTTACTCTTTTAAATATTTGTGGTTTTTGTGCAGACACCACACCTAAGAACAAGTTTTATACATTTTTTTCAGCTCCTTAGAGCCTCAGCATCTGTCCTTTCCCTTTATATTCATATAGCGTTAGATATCATGCAGGTGGATCATCTCAGAGAGTGGTCAGTTAAGAAATTGAATGGATTTTTATGAATTTATAATAGACATCATAGACTTGGTAGACGATTTTTGTTTTCAGGAGCACAATCTCCCTATTGGAAGGAGTTCAAACAACAGGCAGGAAAGGTGGGGATCAGAGTAGGCGTCTGTGCGACAGATGTAAGGTGAGAATTTGGTTATGGGGGTGGTGGAGATCGGGTGGATGAAAGTTTGATGAGGGTTTGATACTGTCTGCTAGCTGAGGAGTCCAGAAATCTACCACTCCTCCTCCTCCTTCACACACATGCTTTTCCAACACCACACTAGGGCCAGGTCCTCTATTTTGCTCAGAGTAGGGATGGGGTAAAAGAGTGGCAACCTACACAGAAATCTCAGTAACCAAGGACTGGTGCTGGGGTAGCTAATGCCTAGTCTGAAAGACCATAAACTTTGTAGAGCAGTCCAGTTTCCAGCGTGATGCAGAAAAGAGAGTTCAGCACTGATTAGAAAGAATCTAGGCAGATGGGCTTGAGGAAGTATGTATTTGCAAATATTGAGAGAGACGATTTCAGATTCATTTTAATAATACATCACAGAGAATAATAAAGTGGTTACTTACTACTTGAAGCAGAGAAAGATATCCAAGTCCTACATTATCAAAGTTTACTTTCACATTTTTCCACCTGGCAGTTTGATTGCTCTCTATGAGGGCTTTACATTCGCTGTAGTTGTTGACCACACTTACATCGAACATTTCTCCAGTGGTGTAGTTAATACAATGATAAAACTTGCCAGCAAAGAGATTTACTCCCATGATACTGAATATTAGCCAAAAGATCAGACAAACCAGAAGTACATTCATTATGGATGGAATGGCTCCTAAAAGAGCATTGACCACAACCTGGCGCAGAAATAAGAAGAGAAAATAAGTGAAAACTCAACAATTTCTGAACACTATTAAAAGAACAGCAGTCAAGTGACAGAAAATATACCTGTTCCTAAAATATTGGGCAGAAACTAGTACCTGGTAGCTCCAATAAAAAATTTTTACAATTACAGTTCATAATGACATAAAATATATTTTATATTGTGGAATGTTTTCTCAGGAGGTAAGAACATACACAGAGCAAATGTTCATCAAAGAATGGAACTAATTATAAATGCAAATAGTGACATGGCAACAGCAACAGTGTCAGCGTGTGAATATCACAATTTCCGAATATTTGCAAACCATAAAATTTACTATCCACAATTTGAAAGTGAAAGAGAACAACACTTGAGGGTTAATTTCCAGGGCAAAAGGGAACACTGGTAATGATTATTCTGAGAAAGCAAGTGTAAGCCAGGACTGTCCCAAGCAGTGTAGTCTAGGGTCACCCTACAGCTACAACTCCGGAGCAAAGAGATCGAAGCACGGAAATCGAATACGTGACAGGAGGAAAAGGTTTGGAAGTCAGGAGCTCTGTGTCCCAGTTTACATCACAAATTAGCTGTGCGCCTTTGGGCAAGTTATCTCATTTCTCTGATCCCCCTTTGGGGAATCCCTTTCAGAAGAAAATTCTCGTAAAGGATTGCAATTTGAGCCCAGGGTTTTCACTTAATGGCTTTGTTACTTGCAGCTTTCTCAATTAACTAGGGCTTTCAGGAAACATTTTTCAGCACTTTTTAAAATTATCCCTCAAGGAGATATTTAGCTAAAAATCGTGTTCTGTGCAAGTGCACCTAACCTACTTCAGCAATAAACTTTATCAATGAGCAGGCATGTAAAATATAAGAAATACATGCATTAATCTTCCTCAACTCACTTATGGGATAAAAATATGTAAAAATACATATACACACACACATACGTACGTACGTACATACACACACACACCTACACACACGTACGTACACACGTACATGCGTACACACACGTACGTACATACACGTACATGCGTACACACACGTACGTACACACACGCATGCACGTACATACATACACGCACGTACGCACGTACATACATGCACACACGTACATACACACGTATGTATGTACACACGTACATACATACACACACGTGCATGCATACACACACGTACGTACATACATACACACACACATACGTACGTATGTACATACATACACACATATATAAATCTATGAGCAACGATATCTTACAACCAATCACACCAGACGGGTACTTGGCAAAAGGCACAACTCATCTGCAAATTGGCACCTGGAGCCTATTCAGTAAAGAATAATATTTTAAAGTATTTTTAAATGAAAGTAACTTTTAAAGAACTTATTGTAGTGTTATTATGAGAACTTCAACTCTCTGATAATGTAGAGGTACTTGTAGACTTGACAGTTTATTTTTAAGTTCACTACAACAAATGCTCTGCAAATGTGAGGAGATTCTAGTTAACAGAGTTTAAAAAAAACAACAACAACTGGAAAGCAAAGACATAATACATGTGTTTTCCAAGATAGTCAGATGTATGGGATGGCTGGCAATTTAGGTCCTTATCTATGAAAATTTGGTATAGAAAATATGAAATTATTCTAATACTGAGAGTTTGCCCTTTTAAAATTAAAACTACTGCAAAAACGGTGATTTTAAATTGGTAAAGTGAAAAGAATATAACAGCTAACAATTCTTTACTACGCAACCAGGAGCACACCAACACACAAATCCACACACCTACACACATTTCTGTTTATGTTTGCAACATTCAGAGAAAGTCCGAAGTAACTACTTTCAAATTATCAGAAAAAGCATCATTTTCTAACAGTTTCTTTTAGAATAGCAAAATCCACAGAGATAGGATGTCATCATTTCCTCTGTGCTGAGGGTGTGTTGGTCTCAGGTTTTGTGCCCCGGAGGGGGTGACAAATGGTAGCACAAATTCCTCCGTCCTTTGTACCACCTTTCTAAATGAGTATTGGATTTCCACAGCTGACCTACTTTTTAGCCACCTCAGCCTGTGTTTGAAAGCTAAAGGGCCAGATTCAGATTTTAAAAGGCTCAAACACATCACATGGAGCAATGAAGAAATGATGAAGAATTCTTTGGGGTTTTAAATTACAGTCAGTGGAATTTCCTGCACATTTACAAATGGAACGAACATAACGAATCTTGACTCACATCGGAAGTCTACACAACATGATAGAGATTTCCCAGAGAGTGAAAAACCTACTTACAAGCAATCTAATTGTTTCTAATAAGAAGCTATCACTTAGGTATTCTATTCTGTGAGTGTCTCCAACAGTGTCAAGTTTATGATGTCTGACAAATATTGATTGATAGGTTATGTCAGTATGAATGTATAAGATATAAATTCTCCATGGATTTGTCATTTCTGAGGTACAAAGTGGCAGTCTGTTCTCAATTATAATTTCAGCAAATTCTAAGGCATGCGGTCTTACCCTCATTCCTTCAAACCGGGATAAGGCTCTCAGTGGCCTCAGAGCTCTTAGTGTTCTGAGGGATTTGATGGCACCAAGTTCTGAGTAACCCAAGGCATTTGCAGTCAAGCTAACCAATGACACCTATACAGAGAAAGCAACACAGTTTTCTCATTTACAGACAAAAATGCTTACCCGGTTCAACCTTGCTCTGCAATAAACCAGTAGTTCTCAACCTTTAGTGAGTACCAAAATCACTTGGAGGGCTTGAAAACACAGATTACTGGCAGAGTCTGATTCAGCGGTTTTGGGGTGGGGCCTGAGATCTTCAGGTTTCCAGGTAAGGCTAAAGATACTGGTCTATGAGCCATACTTTGAGAACCACTGCCATAAACTTATGAGAAAGAAGCTATACATGTTCTCTTTTCAAAGATTCTTGATAAGAACAGTTTTTTTTAATTAAATGTAAAACAAGAAAAAGAATGCCACTGAAATGCAATCTTCATCTACAGATCTGTAAAATTTATCATCTCTCCTATTATTTAGCTGACCCAAAAGGGAGATGACTAAAATTTAGTGTAAGTACAAAGGTGAACTAAGCAAACCACTGGCGAATCTGAACACAAATACACTCAGAAAGATCTAGGCCTCTGAAAGTGGCTTTGTCTTTCTGTCAACTTCAGTATGAGGGCATCAAACCACGAACTAGGTCAAATTAAAATAATTAGCCAAAAAAAAGAAAAATTGAGATTTTAGTATGACTCATTAGAAATTGCCAGAACAATGATTATAGTCATTTATACAGATGACTAATGTAGTTGATAGAAATTCTAAAATCTCAACTAAAAAGGAAAAGAATAACTGTCATAGGTAGCACAGAAATGTCTGATTTCCCTTGAAAATACATAGAAAACTCATTGAAACTATACAAACTAAGAAAAACTATTTTGTCCCAAAGGACACTTGAATTTCAAAAACAGATAAATAAAAATAGATGTGTCATAGAGCTTTTAAGAGTATGGTGTTAATGGATATTTAAAAAAATATTTTTTAAGAAAAAGTACACAGAAAAGTTTTACAAAATTTATTCAAACTAATTTTGCACATGTAATGTGAAATAGAAAAAACCCTCTAAATTTGGCCAAAAATGAGCTACAAAAATTTATCTTAAGTGGTTCACATATTTTCCCTAAAATCTAAATTTTATTTATTTATTTGAGAGAGAGGGTGAGAGAATTCATGAGCAGGGGGGAAGGGTAGAGGGAGAAGCAGGGAACCTGATGCAGGACTCGATCCCAGGACCCCGGGATCATAACCTGAGCCAAAGGCAGACGCTTAACCGACTGAGCCACCCAGGCGCCCCTAAAATCTAAACTTTTAATTTTAGGCCTAGTGAAGCCCTCTCTTCACTAATAATTGGAAAATAAAGTTACTAGATTATCATTTGTTGTGAAGATTTTCTGTATATAAAATATGAGGACCTGGACTACTTACTTTATCTTCCCTGAAGACAGAATCAATAAGAAATAGGAATAAACTAAAGGATAAAAGATAAAAGTAGGACATAAGAAAAAAAATTCTGAACAGGGGCAGTATTTATTGGCCAACTAAAAGAAGTGGTAAAATACCCAATTTTATGTGACTTGTGTAGCTGAATGTGAGAAGGAGATACATTTATGCTTTCTCCTCTTCCTGGAACAATCTCCTAACTGGTCTTCTGGTCTCTAAAAAATCCCCTTTCTATTCCATCATTCACAACTGCACCAAATTTCTCTCCCTAAAAGAGCAAGCTGTTCTTGTCACTTTCCATATAGAATGCTTCAGGGGCTTCTTGAACTAGATCAGAGGCCTACATCTCCTTGGATGGCATCACAGTTCTTTAAACTCTTGTCCAACTTACCTTTCTTATCTTGTCATCCAATTAGAAAACACTTTCCCTCACCCCGTGGCACTATCCTTAACCCTCTAGGATTATTTGTTGCTTGCACAGGCCCCGCTTGGCATGCATGGGTCTTAATGCTTTGGTGTCCTTCCCCTTATCTGTATCAGCTGACATTCTCAGCCCTCAAACTCCAGCTCACAAGGGCACTGCCTCATAAAGCCTTGCCTCCTTCCTCAGGGAAGTGAACGGCACTTCTAATACAGATGTCATCTTGTTGTGTACGTATCTTTCCTCACTAGTCGACTGTAAGCTCCCACAAGCCAGAAAAATGACATTCGTATTTGTATCTTCCGTAACAAAACAGATGATCAAGAATATATTTGACATAAAGCAAAGTACTGATGAGTTTAATATATTGTCATAATAATTTTCTTAAATCTAAGAAGGTAAATATCAGGATATGTTCAGTAATATGAGCATCGGCTGCAGGGCAACTAGATTGCTCCTAAGAATTTCTTTATATTCAGGTCATATTGATTTAATGTCTTTAATGTTACACAGGTACATTATATATCAGGTATTTTTATTACAAATTTTCCAATGTATCGTGATCACATATAAAAAAATTTTAAAAAGTATCATTGGTAATCTAATTATACAAATAAAAGAACTGGTATGTTTTTCCATTGTGTAATATCCAATCATATGTGGTTTTAAGTATTTATTTATTGTCTTCTTTTATTGCCAGAAAACTTTTGATGTAATTCTGCATGTAGCCTTATATATTATATTTAATAGTAGATTTGCTATAGACAGATTAGGAAAAAATATAACAAGGATACTCTTCTCTCTTAAATTCAAAGAACTCTCTGTTTCCTCATATTTCGTTTCTTTGGTTTGGTGCTTAGAAAGCTCAAACTGGATTAAAAGTTGATAGTTTTTCTTTTTCTTTTTTTTTTTAAGATTTTATTTATTTATTTATTTGAGAGAGAGAGACAGAGATAGCAAGAGAGAGCATGACTGGGGAGGAGAGGGAGAAGCAGGCTCCCTGCAGAGGATCCTTGCTGAGGATCCCAGGACCCTGGGATCATGACCTGGGCCAAAGGCAGCAGCTTAGCCTACTGAGCCACCCAGGCGCCCCAAAAGTTTATATTTTTTCATTTGAAACTATAAAAAAATAACTTTCTCCATGAAAAGCTCCATTTTTTTTATTTTGCTAGCATGATAAGTAAATTTTATATATCAAAATATTTCAAGTTAAAAGTATGTCTTTAATTTCCATGGAATTACAATCAACAGAATATTATCTTTAAAATGCACTAGTTAGCACTGTGCTTTCTTGCAAATTCCAGGGTCCTCCTCCTCCCTTGTTGGCTGTGAACATCATCCTGTCACCTCCCATGTGCCTGTCCCCTGTCCCCACTGGCTTGCCTAGTCTTTTCTAAACAAAAGGCCTTTAAGTTTCTTTTTAGCCATTATGAATGGACTACTAATTTAAAAGGTATTTAAGAAGTAAACCTCCAGAACTAAATGAAAATGATTTTTAATTTTTTTGCTAAATTAAGATTTTATATTTGTGAATAAAAGGTAAGATCTTCTTCAAAATTCTCCCTCAGAAATCATAGAGTAACCTGGTATTCAATTTTGTAAATTTTCTGGTATTCAATTTTATATTCTGGTACTCCATCTTACTTTATTTTCAACACCAGTGCAGTTTAATACAACTTTTAAATAATTGGCCCACAGCCAATCTGTTTCAACCATCGTATAAATCAAGAAGTATGTCTCCTGCTTTTTTGACTTCCAAGTTTCTTTGTAATTAGTAACCCATCTGTGGGACAAACACTTCTCAATAAGCTCTGGTGATAACAAAAACACTAATGTCAAAGATAACTGTGAGGAATTTAAATACAGTTATTGTGTAAAAGGTAAGGGTGAAAAAAGCAAAACTTCTACATTAATATATTATTCTGTATACTTGGAATTTAAATATTAATTTGAAATGAAATCAATAAGTATAGTAAGGCAACATTTGACTGTTTCACCTATGAAAGTTTATGAATTTAAATCAGCAAAAAAACATTTTGGGGTATCTTCTCGTTGGGAAAATGGGAATCATCATTTATATTTACATATTTACTGAGGGCCTACTGTATGCCAGTCACCATTGCTAGAACTATCATCACATGGCAATGGAATGAAACACGGAAGTGCAGAACACTCACGTCAACAATCAGGAAATCCAGCCAGCACCAGGCATTGGTGAAGTACATCTGAAAACCGTATGCGACCCACTTGAGAAGCATTTCCAGGATGAATATGTAAGTGAAAACTTTGTCAGCATATTCTAACATGGTCTTAATGGTTTTTCGCTGCTCAATATATATATCTTCAAAGGCCTGTGAGTGAGAAAATTCCATGTAATTTCATTGTCATAAACTTGTCTCTAACTGATGTCTCAATAGAGCAAACCTGCTGCAAACCTCGTCTCAGGGGCCTGCGTCTGGAAGGCTTTGTGTTCCCCATGGTGGCACTGTGCTTTAGGGTCACCTGCAGGCACACTTCAGTCAACCAATGAATTCAAATAATTTTTAAATTAGGGTATCGGGATATCCCAAAGAGCTTAAAAATATTGAGAAACTGTCAGGTGCTTCTCTCTACAGCAGGAGGCAGAAAGTCATGTGTGAGTAGATCTGCTTTGTTGATTACACTAGAATGTTTTCTCTCAGTAATACAAATGCAAGGCAAGGAGACACCCCCCCCACCCCCATAGCCCAAGGAAAGAGGAACAGAGGGTTATCACTTTCACCTCTCTATTTCTCTCCCTCAGCATGGGCACATGTGTGGTGCATGTGGGGAAGCCCCCTCCGCCGGGCTCTGTGACATTTTGCAGAGCTCTTGAGACAGTGTGGGGAATTCATTTTCAAGAGCCTCTGGGTGTTCTGGAATGAAAAGATCATTTATCTAACTCAATCGCCTTATAGGAAAAACTATCAGGATAACTTGGTGGCCTGGATTAAGGACAAAAGAAAATTTTCTTTTTTTTTGGAGAAAAGGGGGATCTGGGCTTGTGATCAGGGCACAAGGGCCTAAAGTCTCTCCAGCTCAATTTATAGCTGAAGCTGGAAGCCCCTCAGAAGCCAGCCATTGTGCCAGCATGGTGATGCACTTCGGTGAGCTTTGACTGGGTATAACTGAGAACCAAGAGCTAAGACAGCAAAGGCACTAATTACTGGTGAGACTTCAGAGTTCCCTCTCTCCTGGCATTAAAAGCGCAGGGCTGACCCTCTTTGCTCAAGTACATGGCAAGACGCAGGACTCTTAGTCAAATCAGAGGCAGGCTTAGAGGCCTCCAGGTACAGGACTATAATCCTAATGAAATCAACTCACCAAACCCTGTAGTGACTAATTGAAAAAATAAAAGAAATGCAGCCACATTTCTATCACCAAATGGGAAAATGGGTCACACTATTTTCGTATGTTAATTAATATTTTGACCAAACTGACCTTTCCATTGAATGAAATTGGACATAAATTAAGTTTTAATGCTTTCACTTTGCTACTAGTCAGTAATTAAGTCAGTCTACTATTTTGCCATTCACTATGATTGGCACTAGTGAATCAGCATGAACAAAACAAGTGAATTCCCTGCAAAATGGAGCTTATGCTAAGCAGTTTGATATTTAGCTGATAATCCTGTATCATGTCTGCATAATCACTCTTAATAAGAACTGCCTCTGATGACTCAAAGTCAGAAATATCTTTCTTTAAATATTGCAGAAACCATAATCTGAGTTTGATTCAATCTGAGACCTACTCTACAACAATAAAAATTGCTATTTACTGAGGCTCACACTGTGCTAAAAATATCACACAATGTCTCGTACGTCACAAGCAACATATTTTAAAAACATATAACAAGAGGTTCATTGAGGGGGAAGGTAAAGAGTTTCAGTAAAAGAAAAGGAGCAGATCATATGTCACCTACCAGCGCCCCACTGCTGAGTAGAATCATGAAGACGATGAAGGTTTCAAACCAGTTGTGCTCCACTATCTTATAGCAGGTTTTTCTCAAGTTCCACCAGAGTTTCCCTTTGCCTTCTTCTATGCTTATCTGACAACACTTGAACTTCCGCACACAGTCTACAATAAGTCAAAGTAAATGAAGAAAAAATAGTTACTCTTTGATTATGTACATTTCTATTGATGGAAGACTCATCTACATTATTACCTGATATATTGTAAGTAACTATTTTTAAGATGGCTTCCACTTACACAAATGGAAATCATCTGTATGGTTTTTAAAATCATTCATTCAGCAAATATTTTTTATGTATATGTGATTATTGTAATGGATTATATTACATCATAAAAACATATAGAAAAACAGAAAGAAAATAAAATCACCAAATGTTGGTATTTCCATCTTGTCCTTATCTTATGATTCCATTCATACACGGACATTTGAGTTCTAAATAGTTCACTTAATGGTATAATATACGTATTTCCCTTTTATTGTATGTAAATAGAACTGTGAAAGGTTTCACAATACTTCTCTAAATAAGATTACCGGACTTAACCAGAATTTACAGAATTATTCCACTATTATTGAATATGTTGCCTTAATTTTGGCTATTATCGGCAACAATATTATAAACATCTTTGTGTAATTTGTGGATTACTAGATCAAAGGCTTATCAACAAATATTTATTGAATATCTGTTGCACTCAAGGAATTGTATTGGACAAAGTATAATAACAGAATGTGTAAACATAGACTTTCTCTTAAAAAAGTGTGCACTTGGGGCGCCTGGGTGGCTCAGTCATTGAGCGTCTGCCTTCAGCTCAGGTCATGATCCCAAGGTCCTGGGATCGAGCCCCGCATCGGGCTCCCTGCTCAGCGGGAAGCCTGCTTCTCCCTCTCCCACTCCCCCTGCTTGTGTTCCCTCTCTCGCTGTGTCTCTCTCTGTCAAACAAATAAAAATCTTAAAAAAAAAAAAGTGTGCACTTTAGGGGCGCCTGGGTGGCTCAGTCTGTTAAGCATCTGCCCTTCGGCTCAGGTTATGATCCTAGGGTCCTGGGATCGAGCCCTGCGTCCTCTCCCTGCTCAGGGGGGAGTCTGCTTCTCCCTCTCCCTCTGCCCCTCCCCCCATGCGCGCTCTCTCTCTCTCTCTCTCTCTCTCTCTCTCAAATAAATAAATAAATAAAATCTTTTTTTTTAAGTGTGCATTTTAAGTAGGGGACTTTTGTTCACAAATTCTATAATTATAGAAAGCAAAAAAAATCACAAATTAAATAAGGTATTGTACAAGTTGATTGGTACAGATTTATTTCTGATATTGAGCTTTATAGAGGAAATGAATTTCAGCTTAGACTTTGAGGGATATGTAAGAACAGGTCTGGTACAGGAGCTATAAAGGAATGGAGAAACGACGACATCAATAACACTTAATGATAGGTCTAGAAGTTGCATGAAGGAAAGAATTAGGAGTCAAGACTAGAAAAAACACTTAAGAGCCAATCTGAAAAAAGGAACTGGGGAGTCAGCTGGAGAATTTAGATTTTATATACTGTCCAACGAGTAAAACATTGAAGGATTTATTTGGGAGTTGTGAAGATTTACCTGATAAGAACACTGATTTAGAATGATCTCTGCCTATAAAAGGCACTGGATGAATAGAAGAAAGAAGACGAAAAAGGAGTTAAGAGTGCATGAAAAAAAAAGTGTATGAGATTCAAACAAGGGTGACAGTGGTGACAGTGGTTAGGAATCAGAAGATACCACTGAGCTGACAGGACCTGGCAGCACACAGAATAGGGGGATGCTGGGGTGCGGGAGATGGGTCATGAGATAAGGCTTGAACCATGAAGAGGGCTCTTGTTCAATGAAGAAAAAAATGGAAACCTCATCTTGAAAAGAGCATAATATTTTACTGCATAGGTATTTATCAGATGCTACTTTATAATGTCAGTCGGAGAGATCATATCCTTTGTTTCATGAAAATTTAACGATGTGCTATAAAATGTTATTAGCTTCTCATCTAAGAAATAAATAGTATTGTATTTGTTGTTTCTTTGAGGAGGAAGATCTTTTTCATATTCCTGCTTCCCAAAAGATCAAGAAGATTTATATGCCCTGAAAATATTCATTGTATTAAATTAAATGGAACTAAATTTAGGTTTGTTTTTTTTTTCTCTAGAGAGGATATGAGATGAAAAAACAATTTAATAGAAAAAGACCAATTTTAGCAGGAATGATGAATGCCAAATTTGAGACACTGGTTTATTTCTGAGAAGAAAGGAAGAAAATGGGATGAGGAAGGGGAACAAAATGGGCCTAAACTCTATCTGTTTTGTCTTAAATAAAAAGTCTGACGCATATATGACAGAAGTATTCAAATTGTTAAAGTTGGTTGGTGGGCATCTACCTATTATTCATTATTATTTTCTATAATGTTAAGTTATTCTATATCCTATATAGAATATATTCTAAAATATTTCATAGTTAAGTGGTTTTTTAAACCTTACAAAAGACAAATGTTGATAGTACCATAATTATTATTGCATAATTACTTATTATTTCCTTATTATTGAAGTATATATGAGTCTGTTGTGACCCTAAAGATAAGCTAATTGTCTGATAAGCTAAGAGTAAAAACTAATACCACAGAAATTATTTTTGTGATATACCACTTGAATGTTTTGGGAAGTCATATATTTTTTCATAATCAAGTAACTGCACTGGAATGTATGAAGACTTTTTGAAGAAAATAGCAAATAGTGACTTCCTGCATAACTTATGCTGAACAAACAGCTCTCCCTCTGAAATTATTTAAAAATTCACAATTAATATTTAAGTATTTATTTTCACCAATGCATTAAAGTCCAAAATCAACAAGTATATACAACATAATCTTATGTAACAACCTTGAAAGAATCCACTGATGTCAATTGTGATTTCTAACATCTGTGTAATTACATATTCTAAAATTTGCTTAAAGTTTAAATTAAAACAGC